TGGTTGTTTTGGATGATGATTGGTTGTTCTCCGGAGGTGCGAGGCCGGAACCTGGCTCATCTCATGGTCATCATTTAGTCCAGCCTGAATAACAGTGCCTGGAGTGTCCATAGCAGTATGGCTTCTTCCAGCTCTTCCCAAGGCAGCTGATCTGGCTGTTGTCTGGGGTATGCTGTTGTCCTAAAACTGTGTGTCTGGTGTGCTGTTAGTGTTCCCAAACTGGTAGCAGTGGCTCAGCTGTGGTTCAGGTGTTATCTCCCTTACAGGTGGCTTTGGGGACAGAATAGAAGCAACTGTTTCCATTGATTCAGGCATGGACTTCTTTAGTGCTCACTATTTATTCATTGCAGTGGGATATTTTCCTCTGAAACACCCAAACTCTCAGTCAGTATTTCTGCTTTAAATGGTCCAGATTTATTTTTTTTCCCCCCCCTCTCCAATTTTAGGAGCTTAGAGCTCTCTGAATAATTCCACTGATTTTGGTATGGAAATTGTGTTTGCTTTTGGAGAGCAAGTGTGAACACTGGGTTCTTACAGCCCCTGGCTTCAGTGTCAAAAGGCAGGATAGCAGTTTGCCATTAGTCCCTAAGCTCTGCTGGGAGGAATAGCCGAATCCCTCTGAAAAAAGTGTAGGATGTGCAGCAAAGCTGTCTGCCAGAGATGGGTGCTAACTCAGGAGGTTGCATTGAAGAATCTTCTGGAAGAGGTTTAATTGATTAGGTTTTGTTGCATTACTGAAGAGCAAAGTCTGAATGCAGTCAAGTAGTGAATGGCATATTGATAAGAAATTCAGAGTGGTATTGTTTTTCATGGGTTTCCCTGACGGTTTCTATGGGGACAAAGACGCATTTCCCGTCCGAGTGCTGCTGCTGCCCTCTGATTGCACTTCTGTGGTTTCATTCACTAGTAATGGGAAAGCATTCATAGGCAGAATAGCTTCCCCTTTTTAAATAGCCATGATTCAGGGTTGTATTTTTTTTTTAATGCATTAGGCTAATGCAGTGTTTTATCAATGATCTGATAGATGCATAATGCTCTTTTTCCAAGTGCTTATTCAGGGTCTGCATTAAAACTTGAAATTATGTACTGTAATTACGTAAGCCTTGACAAAAGTCTTTGTTGCCCTACAGTATGTGTACAAAGTGATTCTCATCCGGCTTTGGCAGTAGCTTGCATTTGAACTTTAGGGATTAATTTTGTTGCAACCATTTAAATGGTCAAACTCAAATGCTGATGCTTTTGGGAAGCTTCTTTTTCTTTCTTCTTGTGTGGGTCTTTCAGTTGACTGATGTGAGTTAATTATTTACAGAATGAGAGTTTTTTAGAAATGTGACTTTTTTTAAAAAAGTGAAAGATTTTTGTTTGTCCTTTTTCTGCTTTGGGATGGGAGGCACTTTGAAGCTGATTGTGATTTCACATCTCGGTGTTCTGTTTTGAATCTTTCTCCTTGCCTGCCAAGTTTTGAATTTAGGCTTGCCCAGTTACTCTGCAGTTGGATGCACTCCCCACCCTTTGCTGCGGAGGTTCTGTGTTCTCAGAAACTACTTGCAATTTTGAGGGTCTGTTTGTTGTTGTTGGCTTTTATTCTTTTTCCTGGGTATTTGATTTCAGTGCTTCCTCTGAGAGAGAGTGTGGGGGAGAGAGAGACTGCTTCTTATTCAGCATGTCTCTGCATTTCTATGTATTTAGATTTCCCTCTTCCCTGCTCCCCTCCACCCATCCACTCACCCTTCCTCCTTCCCCCCCAGAGAACAAAAAAACTCTCTGGCTTGCAGAAAACACGCTTTTTAGCAATGCGTAAAATGTGGAGGAAGGGAAGCCTACTGAGAGCTGTAAACTCTCACAGAGATGGAGCTGGGAAATAGCAGCTTCTGGGCCAGGCTGCTCCTTGAGAAAATGTGACATGACTCTAAAAAGGAGAGTGAGACTTGCTGTTTACACCTGTGTAGCACTAGCACAGACTGTGTTCTGTATGCAAGGCTGAGGTATGTGAAGTCATCCATCACTGATGAAAACGGGGTTGGAGTGGGTCTCCCCAGCTCTGCTGCTGGCTCTCAGAGAGGGGAACACCTGAGTTGCTTTTGGTGGTAATTGGGAGGGGGAGAAGGTCATGCTGAGGCCGTATACCTGGCAGTACATGTTCAAGAGATGCATCTCCTGCAGTTTGCAGGGGAAAGGTGTATGTGTGTGGAGTGGCACGTCCAATGCCATGGTTGCGCTGGAGCATCACCTTGTTGTAGAGGAGCCATTTCAGCACTTGTACCTTATACAGGAGGGTGTTACTTGTTGAGGGTTTGGGCACTAGTCAGGAGGAGGACCGTAGGTTGGTTGTGGTTTTGTTTAATTTGGGACCTTTTGTTTCCTCAAAGCCTGTCAACTCAGCAGGATGAAAAACCTGGTTTGAGCATTTGCTTCATTTGGCCACAGCTTATGTAGGAGCAGGCAGATAAGGGCCAGCTGTTGTTCCATTTGCTTGCTTAAACAAAACCCACTGTAGCATGTGCTGAGTGCTGTAAGCTGCAGCACCTTGAAAGAAAAGCAAGGCAGGGGATAAGGCTTTTGTATGCTACTTCTGGTTTATTATCGAAAAATGGTTTCTGTTGGAGAAAAAGGTCTTTTTTTCTTTTTTTTTTTTCTTCTTTAACGCACCTGGCAGTCTGCTCTTTGAGGTTTTGTTCTGCATCCATTGTAGAAAATGAAATATTAGGGAATTCCAGTAATTTTCTGTAATATAAAAGCTTCTCATTGAACTGCTCTCTGAAATGTGAAATAGGATGGGAAAGTTTCAGTGTTTCCCTGCAGTGTTGACACTGGGATGGAAGGGGAGCATGTGTGTGGGGTGCATTCCCTCCTGTAAGCTGATTATAAGTCGCATGCTCTGCCCCACTCCCTGTGTGTGTATTCAGCTTCCGTTAGTGGGATTGAGTCGATGCTTTCCTGTCTGGCAATTCAGTGACTTAATGCATGTTTGAGTAGCTGGCCTCACCATTTTATTGCTACACATATTTTTCTATGGAAAAACTGAGGTGGGCAATGCAAATGGAACCACAACTTATGTCCTTGCCTTCCTTTTCATTTCCTCCTCTCTGGTTTCTGCCCTCTTTGGTGTTTTTTCTTATGAGCGTTTCTTCTCGCTGCTTTTCCTATGTTGTGCAGGTGCAGGAACTTGTTAAAGCTGAGCATCGTGAATTGTTCTGTAGTTATTCTCCTTCCTGTTTTGGACCCTCTGAGCTGCTTACAGAGGGAGATTGCTGTGATATTGATAATTGTAGTTAAGTTTCTCCTTGCAGCCAGCTTCCTGTGTGAGGTATTGCTGCTGTAAAGTATTGTTTGAGTGCTAATGAGGTGGTTGTCCATAGCCAGGAGAAGTGCTGTTAGGCTGGCAATGGGTAATTAATCAGGAAGCAGGTGTGTTGTGCAAACCCCATCAGCATCCGAACTGGAGGAGAAAACACTGGCCTATTTAGGAGAGAAGGAGCTGCCTTGACACACTATGCTTGGGAGCCAGGTATTCTGAATTCTGTATTTATGACTTCCTGATTCGAGGCATGTTGCCAAAGGGGCTTTCACCTCTGCTGGTAAATGTCTCTAGCTGTTGAAAAAGTCCAAGTGTCATTATGAGAGCTTATGGCACAGCTGCCTCTGGAGTACTCCATGAAGCAGAATGCTCTTCTGTTGCTTCAGAGAAGATAGTGCTGAGCTGCCTTGGAACCAAGTCTAAGCCAAAGCTGGACCAGCTGTCTTTGCAGCTCAAGTCCAAGCAATGTCTTCAGTAAACATTTAACAAACAGGGCTCTCCTTGTCTCTATTAATGACTGTTAAATGATGTGCTTTAGTCAAGGGACATGAGTACTGCTTTCTGGGATGAAGTTCAGTCCCTGCCAGTCTGTCGTAAGGGAACATGGCCATGACACGGGGCTAAGAGTGACCATACAGCCAGGTGAGATTGAGGGATGAGGATGATAATACCCAAAGTTTAATTATGATCCAGAGTTGTTGAAAAGAAAGCCTGCACCACTGCTAGGTCCCTCTTCCATCCAGATGCCCTGGACAAGTCCTGTTGTGTTGTAGAGATTCTGCTCTCAAAACCAGCCATTGCTGGCAAATGCTCTAAAGGCTAATTGATAATTCTTTTGGATGCCTTTAACAGGGACAGATTTTAAAATACAGTTACAGATACCAGCAGTGAGGATTAAAAGGAAAGAAAGGTTATGTTCATCTACTGCTATGGCAGGCAACTCTGCATCATATTTTCTGCTCCTGTGTGATACTCATCAGGGAAGAAAATTCTCTTGCAGAGATAATTACTGCAGCACAATGACAAGTTCACAGTGCTTTGCAGGCAGAAGGAGTTTGCAGTCTAGATAAGGCATCCCTGTCATCTCTCTGCGAGCCCTTTCCTAGCCTTTCTGTTGTTCCAATGGGAGGAGCTCCTCTGGTTCAGCTGGGTAGATAAGCTTGTTGTTAATCCTGGCAGCATGCAGCTCGCCCGATCTCTCCTTGCCGAAAGGTCTATTTAGGAAGACTGAAATCTGTTAAAATTGCTCTTCCTTAATGCTGGAATAAAGAAAAATGTTGGTTGGTCAGAGGGATGATTTGGGGTCAGAATAATCATTTTATTCCTGTTGAACCTTGTGGAATTACAAGCAACTGCTCACTATTGTGAAGGTGTAAAGATAACCTTGTCAGGGCTAGGCTTGTATTTGGGCCTAAGTCCTACATTAAGGTACATTAGAGTGCAACCAACACAGAAAACATCTTGAGGTTTACGTCTCCTTTTTGAAACTATGTCTATGTAAAATCTACCAAGCACATGAATATGACAGTTGCTTTTATCTTTTTAAGACTTTACTAATGAGTTTACTGGACATGACTGTATTTGAAATCTTACAGCTCTGTAAATGTGTGGCAATGTTCCCTGTATGTCTGGTTGTAACAGGCAGGAATTTGTGTTTTGATGTTTGCTTACCTCAGTGATTTTTGTTTTCTTTCACCTGCAGGACTAGAGTGAAATTGGAAAGCCTAGAAGATGCTTATATTTTAAGAGGAAATGATGACTCTCTTTCTGATAAGCATGGCTGCCCAGCCTATGTGAGTCCAGAGATCTTGAACACAAATGGCAGCTACTCTGGCAAAGCAGCGGATGTATGGAGTCTAGGTGTCATGCTTTATACCATGCTAGTTGGACGCTATCCTTTCCATGACATAGAGCCTAGTTCCCTCTTCAGCAAGATTCGTCGTGGGCAGTTTAACATTCCAGAAACTCTATCCCCCAAGGCAAAATGCCTCATACGTAGCATACTGCGTCGGGAGCCATCGGAGAGGCTGACTTCACAGGAAATTCTGGACCATCCATGGTTTTCTACAGATTTTAATGTATCAAATTCAGGATATGGTGCTAAGGAAGTATCAGATCAGCTGGTGCCTGATGTCAACATGGAAGAAGACTTGGACCCATTCTTTAACTGAGCACAAAGACTTGTTCAGAAGGTACACAATCTGGAGATGGACACATGAAGGAGCCCTTCCTGACCGTGTTAAATCACATCCTGTATCAGCCTAGCTTGGTAGCAAAAGACACTCAAGAGGTCCTCAAATTGAGAAGGAACCTCTACAAGGAGATAATATAACAAATGTAGCATGGGGACAGACTGGGGGGGTGGGGGGGAGCTTGCTATCAGGTTAGATTGATTTGGAGGAGAAAAGGCAGCATGGAGCAATTGTAGCTTCTCACTTTTTTGGAGCCAAGGAGACTGCACATGCCAATTCTGGTGCAGCTGTATCACTCTTGTTTCTGTTCCATTAAAAATAGTGGTAACTCACAACAAATGGAAACTTTTTTGCCTCAGCTCACATCTTGGCATCGCACTGTTAGATATTTAACTTCAGCCATTATTCAGGGAAAGTATAATTGGCTAACATTTTTTTAATCAGATGTCTAATAATTAATGGGATTAATTTAAGAAAAAAATTAGGTGCACAAAGATGGACATGAAAAGTGGGTGCTAAAAACAAACAAAATTTCAGTTCATGTCTCTTGATAGCTATTTTCAACTCATTTCTTCTAAATAAACTACTTAATATTCTTGTCAGGAAATGACATTTTAATGCTTTGTTCCCTTAAGGGGAAGTAACTGTCATTTAAGAAGCTGTTCTGTTTTGTGTCAAATGGTTTGTTGCAGGAAGCTATTATAACTCGAACTTCCAGATGCATTACTGCTATAATGGGGGGGGGGGGGGGGGAGGGAGAAGAAAAATGTATAATTTTTTTCTTTCCTTTTTTTTTTTTTTTTTTAAGATACGAGATACTGGCTTCCATATCTGCCATGCTGCACGTTTATGACTAGAGAGGGCAGAAAGCTCTTACTTGTGTCTTTATCTGAGAACCCATCTCTTCTTTAACTGACCGGCCCATGTGTAAATAGAGGGCTCTTTATTATTGAAGAAGAGTATTGTGTTGGATTTTATTTTCTTTAAGTTCCTTTCAACTTGGGAAAAGAATTGTTTAGGTTTGAGTTTGTTTATGTCCAGAATAAGGAATAAGAGGGTATTAATAAGCTGAACATTTATATTACAGATATTCCTCTTGAAACATACACAGTAATATGCACCTTTTGTATTGTCAAGACTTATTCTATTTATTGAAGAAAATGTCACAGTAGTGATGTATTAAGCCAGTACTTCAATTACGGGTTGACTTGGGATGACATGTTACATGCTGTAGTTAACACACTTCTTTTCTGTTCAGGTATTTCTGTCCCTAAATAACTTTTTATTTAGCTTCTTTTTCTAGATAGCTTTATTTGATTTAGACTGGCAAATGTTTTTATTACTGCTTTTATATTGCTGTATGATATTGAAATCTCTTGCATAAGTATTTGTGTTTCCAGTACCTCAGTTGTTCTGATATTACTGCCTGTATACGTTTTGTGAAGTGGTCATGTTTTTTGGGTAGGTACATGTGGACTCTGTAGTATGTAAATGTTACTTGAATCTGTGCTTAATTATAGTATGTGGCATGTGCGTACAGCTACTTGGCATTTGACGTATGGATGCTATTTGCCTGCCTTGCAGGAAAGTTACGGTCCCACTCTCAAGAGGATGTTTCACAGTTCTTTATCAAGAGACAAAGCTAGCTGCAGCTGACCTGCCTTGGTTCTATTTTGGTAACTAAGAATATAAAGGAGTAATGTTTTTACACTCTGAAGATGGTGCTGTGTCAAGAAGGACTTTTTTTTTTTTATTTTATAAGTACCTTATAGGAGGAAAGATTGGTGATGTGCATGGTGGGGTTTTACTGCCTCTGGTGCTTTGTCATGTATTTGGTTTAATGTTTTTGTCCTAATCTCTTCAATAAATAAAATTGTGCATATTTAACTAAATTTCAGTGGTGAACAATATTCTTACTGAATGTCTGAGGTGCTGCAGGAGTTTGCTCAGTTAGGATCATTTAGCTGGTATCTTTTGTGCTGTCTAACAAGCTCTTGCCAGACCAGTGAGATGAGACAACTTAGCACTTATATTTGCAAGGTAACACTGTAAGCCTTTTCATTGAAAATTTTACCATTTGCTATGAATAAAACTGGCTTTTATTTTGTTTATTTTCTTTTGGCTTGTCCCTACCACTTATGGAGCACATTTACCTTGTTCAAGGAGCGTATTGAAATGCAGTGAGAACTATGTCTTTTTGGTGATGGAGGCTCTTTGGCTGATGAAGAGATACCACAATGGAGCAAGCTGGCGCTTACACTTTCCAAAATGCTAGAGAAATGCATCTTGCATTTACACCTCAATTTCAGATAGGATGGGTCTGTAATAGCACCGTCTAATTTACAGACTTTTATTTAAGGCCAGATTCTGTTTCTGCCATTCATCTTGGATAATAATTAGTAGATGCAGGTAGTGAGATCACTTAGAGATGCATGTGGAGAAGTAAGGTGCATTGTGAACATGAGGCAAGGCAAGATGAATCCTGGCCCATTAGAAAAGAGCTTTTGAACTGGGCTTTGGTTTGAACCAGGACAGTCTTTTTTCAGCAGTTCTCTGGTTTGAAAAACCTACAGGTGGCTGATGATCAGCCCTAAAATTCCTCCCCAGCCCCAAACCTCTCCTTCAACATACGAACTGCTAGCACAGGGATTACTGTCAGGCTAGATAACTTTGTACTACATGATTTCATCCTAGGTAATTCCTGGCATGTGTTTATTTCAGTTGGTAGGTTGAGAATTAAACCTGTTGATTATAGAACCAACTAGAAAGGCTATTAATGTGTAGAAACTCTTGATGATCAGTTTTTAAATGATTTGCATGCCTGCAGCCAAAGTTTAAATTAATTGAAACTCTTTCAAATCAAACTCCCACAATAAATGTGCTTTAAGGAAGAAAGCAGATTGTGATCAGTTGTAGAGAGAAGGTGGGGGGGGGGAGAGCGCTGAGAATTTCCCTCTCCCCCACTAAAACTTATGTGAACAGCTTCTGTTCTGTTTGGGTGGAAGTAGTTAGACGTTATTTTACAGCAACTTGCATGCTTGCTTTTTCACTGCCAGTAATTATATGAAAAATGTGGCTGACTAATGATTGCTCGCTTGCAGTGAATTTTATTTGAGGCAAAAGCTTTTTTGGTGTTGCCGTGGAGGAATCCTTTGGCAGCTGAAATCAGCTGCAGGGATGCCCTGGTTTTGGAGCTTCCTTGTCCCTAAAGTGAAACCTGAGAGGGGGAATCTGTGATTCAAACAGCTGATTTCTGACTCTTCATTCCTGCTTCATGGGTGCTGTTAGTGGAGTACAGGCATAGCACTGCTTGCTGCAGAAACGCCTCAGCAGCTTGCTTAGTGCTGTTCAACCCTTGATTTGGGCAGCAACTGCAGTGGGATGCAGGATTTTGTTGCGCAGAGACTGTCAGATTGATTTAGCTGCCTCCTTGTCCTGGGGGAGGGGGTGAGCTTTCTACGCCGTGCAGGGTGAAAAGCCATGTCTACAAAGCCATTTTGTAGAACGAGACCTTACGGCAGACTTTGGGATGGAGGCCCCCCAGCACCTCTGTCTCCTCTACCCAACACAATTAAAAAAAAAAAAAAAAAGAAAAAAGTCATAATTATTCTTTTTAATTTGTTGTTTACCACATCATTTATTTTGCCAGTGCAGCACTGTGTGTGATTGCAAGCTACAGGCTTTTCTTCAGGACTACACAAACAAGTGACAATTACTCCTTTGGCACCATGATGTCATATAACCGGATCCCTTAGCCTTACTGAGGTGTGCATGTGTTATGGGGATAAACAAGTCAATTAAAATGCATTCACTTAGAGATTAAATAACCTTGGGAAACCTGTGTATCTGAAAACAGAAAATAATAGTAAAACAAGCTCAACCCAAGCCCCTAAAACCTCAAACCTGTCAGTCAGAGAGAAAGGGTATGAAATCTGATGCCAAGGAAAAATGATTGGGAAGGGGGAAAAATAATATTCCTCATCCTGAAATGATTATGTTGAAATTTGGAAATGTATGAGTGAGCTCTGTGACTAATAGCATAATGAATACCAAAAGAATTAGTAATGATAAGTTCTTTATTCTTGAAGTTTTGTTTAAGGTTTCTATGAAAGAACTTGCTAATTTAATAACTGACAGAACAGCTAACAACTTTAGCTTGTAACTTTCCTATTCTTTCAGTAGAAGTAAATGTTGAAAATTGGTAACATGATGGGACAAATTGAAATCAAAGTGTAAGTAAAGCAGGGTATGAATGGCCTATAATACGGTGTAATTCCGTTGGAACATGAAAAATGACTGAGGAAATTTTCTTTAAAAAACACCAACAACTAAAATCAGGCCAGTTTTGGCACTGACTTTTGTTTTTCCCCAATGTCCTTGATAGTTACATTCTTGGGACCAGTTTTCATGCCTCTTTCTGCTTTTTTGACTTCTGAATTACGAAAATTTAGGCTATTTCCTTGAAATACTGATCCTTCTGAGATGCCTCCCCAGAAACCTCTATACAAGATTGAAACTGTAGGCCATATTTGGCTTGGAAGGTTTTCAATATATTAGTGAGCATATGTAAATGTGAGGAAAAATGTTTTTACTGTGATGGTAGTGTACATCCTGACAAACTCATCTGATTTTATTTGTGCTGATGTAAATGAGTGGAATCCATTTCTTAAGGGCCTAAATGAACCTGACTTACGTGCAGAGAAGTGTAATTTATTCTAGTTGTTCAATTTAAGTTCCTTTAGACTTCTCACTAAAAGTGGCTGAGTATGGGAGTCGATCCCATTGTTCTGGCTCTCCTGACTCTTGCGCATCCATAGCCAGCAGGGGAAAAATAAAGTAATCTTAGTGTGGCAGCTTGTGGAAAGTAATGGGTTAGCTGCTGCATTTATTTCTGCTCAAGAGATTAAAGCATAGTTGCAAAGCTGGTGCTGACATCATTCCAAGCTGACGTCAGTTATACAGTATATTGCAAGGTGTTTATCTTCATCTGATTAGGTTAGCAAAATGCATACTGCAAAGGCAGCACACAAAGGAGGAAATGGTATGTTTGTGCTTCCAACTCACCCTCTGACACTGGAGTTAGTCCTGGAAAGACTGAAACACTTCATGCTTGATAAGGGCCCTGTAAAAATCTGTGGGGTTACCATTGGACCTGGCTTTTTCTCATCTCGATCTTTGAACACATCAGTGTTAAGCACAGAAGGAGGGTGTTGGGCACCCCGTCCTTGCAGGGAAATTGCTGTCTGGATTTTTCTTCTCCACAAAGCCAGTAAAAGTGACAAAATGAAAAGGGATGTTGGGACACAGCAATGCAAATACTAATTTTCTCTTCAGCCTGCTCATCTAAGCGTGTGTGTTTTCAGTGAGTCCAGAGCAGTATTGCTACCTCCACTTCCCCTTTCTGCAGGAATGTGCTGAAGATGTGAAAAGCAACAACAGAAAACAGGTATCTTCTTTCAGTTGCGACTTAATGTACACCTAAAAGCAGGCACTTCCACCTGTAAACTATAAATATCTGCGCTAGGGAACCAAGTGTGCTCTATGGGTCATGAGCATCTTCAAGGTATGGGACAAAGGTAGGTGTCTATTTCTGCTCATAATGAGACCCACACATATTGTACTATACAAAGATGTTATTGAGTACACACTTAGGTTCTATGCTTACCCTTAAAGGACAGTGTTTGCCCTGAGTAGGTGCCCTGGATATTTGTGGGTGCTATCACAAGAGGGGAATCCCATT